TAGAAAGATTATTATAATGTTTTCCAAGTCAAACTGAGTTCGATTCCATTTACATTAGAGGTTATCATGCAGCTGATAACACTTGATATTTTGGAGGAATCTGCTCTAACTGCGGGTTGACAGTTCAAACACATAATGAAGTCGGCAAAATTCATCCCCAGAACAGAAATGCTGTGTTCTGGAAGCACCGTGTTCCAAATGAGCTTCACTGTATGTCCACGTGAATACTGGTGTTCAATAAGACCACACAGAAACGAAAGGCAGCTCTATAGGAGAGCTACCCAAGGACATGGCCTGGACGCTATCTCCCAAAGACATCAACTGCAAAATGGTTAACGTTTTAATTTCAATCTGAGTTTTTAAAATCCATAGTCAGTCACTCTCATGACTCATCAAATACACATACACACACGTACAGAGAAAGAGCAGGATTTTTGATAAAATGGTAACAAATTGGCAAATCAAGGGGAAGCGTACATAGGTATTGTTTTTCTATCCTTACAATTTTTCTGTGGGTTTGAAATGTTTGAAGTAAATAGGTGGGTGAAAAATAACCAATTATGACTTTTATAATGTCAAAAAAAAAAAGACTGAGAAGAACGAAAATGATTCCATTTTTAGAGTATCTTATGAAGGCAAGGAGAGGATTTAATGAGCTTAGGAATAAAAAGAACATTATTTCAAAACATTTTTACTTTACTATGAAAGTCATACAAATGTTTTTAAAAAGTTATAAACAGATAAAAGAAAAAACTGCTCATAGTTTCACTGCAAATACATAGACATTTTCCACCTTTTTCTCTATAATGAGTATTTTCTGGGGAGGAAGTTTTTATACTGCACAGAGTAACTTACTACTCTATTTAAAGAAAAATTAAACAACTACTGGAAACACGTTCATACAATCGGTTTGGGATCAAAAGACAAAGAATCCTCTGAAATAGCTCTATTAACGGAGAAGGACAGCAGTAGCAACAAGAACAACACAAATATACTCGCCAGACGATTAGTTCTATAGTGGAGCACGACAGGATACTCACAAAAGGAAGGGGACTGTCAACAAACAAAAGCAATTATTGAATCAAAGCAAAAAGACACATGTTGAGAAAATTAGTGAGCCAATCCTTGGTAAAAGAATTTTCAGATTCTGCCTGGCACACTCATACGAGGAGAACTCAACCTTGCACTTAAACAGTTAAAGTACATGAAAAGACATGGCAAACACAAAAAGCACTTTACATAGTCTTGATGCACTACACAAAATGAAATTACCGTTCTCATTTGAGAATGGGGGAAGGAAACATACTGCACTCAAACAGGAAAAACACAGACCACTGTGATTTCTTGTAAACATGAATGTCACAGAATCTGAATGCCTAAAGGGAACAGAGGGTCACTTAGTTGAATCTTCTATATTTGAGTTACAAACTGGCAGCCAAATTTGTGTGTTGCCTTGCACGGCATATGACAACGTTTCAAAATTTAAACATTTTACAGAAAAATCAAGATTTTCCAGTTCCTTTTCCCGGCCTCCCCCCAGTTTTACTGAGATACTAGCGACATACGGAGCTAAGTTTAAAGGTGTAGAGCATAACGATTTGACTTACGTGTACTGTGAAATGATTACACAGTAAGTTAACATCCATCACCTCATTGAGATTTTAAAAAAAAGGGGGCGCCTGGGTGGCTCAGTCGGTTAAGCGTCTGACTTCGGCTCGGGTCGTGATCTCACGGTTCGTGAGTTCGAGCCCCGCATCGGGCTCTATGCTGACAGCTGGGAGCCTGGAGCCTGCTTCGGATTCTGTGACTCCCTCTCTCTCTCTGCCCCTCCCCCTGCTCGCACTCTGTCTCTGTCTCTCCCAAAAATAAATAAAACGTTAAAAAAAAAACAAAACAAAAAAAAAACAAACCTTTTTCTTGTGATGAGATCTCTTCGGATCTATTCTCCTAACAACCCAGCCCCTCTTGAAAAGCTGAAAGAGGACAAGCGGGCCACTGTTTCCTTTAGACAAGGCATGTGTGAGCTCCCGTGCCCCTCAGCCTCCACCACCCCCAACCTCTCCTCAAGCCCAGCCCACCTTGCTCATGTCCGTTACCTGCCTGGCCTCAGTGGGAAATGAATGTGCAAACCCTGATCTGTAAAATTCTAGGTGAGGTTAAAAAGGGAGGGAGGAGGGTCGAGCAAGTAAACGTAAGTAAGCAAACAGTGAGAGACACCAACACTCATATTCTAAGTAGGTCCCTTGACTCAAGTAACTGATCCACACACCACGCACACTTTGCTCCCTGCATACAGAGCTGGGTGGGGTGGACGCTCCCCAGTGTAGTACCTTCTGTTTCCTGGCTCCCATGAAATAACTGGGGCACCCGGCAAGGAACAAGAGAGAACTGCAAATAAATGAATGCAGGGACACATCAATGGTATTGCAGGAGTGTAGGAAGAAGTGTGACTTTTCTTCAAATAATTAACAGAATTAAATTCTATGAAAAGTTCCTGCAAATGAAATCATTTCGATGTGCATACAATTCCAATCTCAAGTCTGAACTTTTGACAAATACTAAGAACCTCTTTGTAGCTGCTCTTGAATGTATGCAACCCAGAATCTCTTCCTCAGGTTCATTTATCAGTAAAAACCTGGGTGCATCTCACTATAATGAGGCAGGAATGACAGCTATGAAGTCTTAAGCAGAACCTGAGCTGGCCTCGAGAAAGACCGCAGTGGGAGGGTGGATCTGCCGTGCTGCCCGTTGACCAGGGCTGTTGGCAGGGCTCAGCGTCGCGGCACATGATGTTCATGCTTTGGGGGCACTCGGCGAACATCTGATGATTTACTCTGTCCCACAGAGCATGAAGACTAAGAAGAAATCAGATTCTATTTGCTTTAGTGGGCTTTCTTTCTCTTTTTTTTCCTTTCATTTTCTGTGCTTAAAAATACTGTGAAATCGCTAGGTAATACCAAAGAGCTCAATGCAGTCTGAATATCTGATGCTCCTGAGTATACATGAAGCTTTTACACAGCTGAAGCTGGACTGTGATCGAGGAGCAATTTAAACAAACAAATAAAATCTTCTAAAATACTCCAATACTTTTGGAGGAAATCTTTCTTCCTTTTTGAGTAGCGTGCAGAGGAATTCCTCATTAATTATCTGTTTTCTGAGTGGATTTATTTCTGCACGTCCTTTTGAGAATCACTAATATGCCGGTTCACACCCGTGGGTCATTCCTGTTAGGAAACTGTTTAAAGGTATACAAAGGCAGGAAACAGAAGAGGGAATGAGGCCAAGGCAGAGAGAAATAGACAGAAAAGGCGAGAAAACTGAGGGAGGTAACGCCTGAAGATCTTGCTACATGAAGTTCAGTCCCTGGACGGAGGAGCACTTGGGAGCTGGTTACAAATGTAGAATTTCAGGCCCCACCCAGACCTACTCTAGTAAAGTCTGTATTTTAGTAAGACCCGCAGGCAATTCCAGGGCACGATGGCATTTGAGAGGTGCTACCTCACTCACTGTCCATTGCAGGCTCTTTAATGTCAGAAGCAGATGAGATATGGTGAGAGAAATTCATAGCATGTCGTTAGCTGGGCGACCCCGGAAAAATAACAAAACCTGTCTGAGCATCATTTCCTAATCTATAAAATGGAGACAACAATAATAGGATAGGGTGGTTGTAAGGATTTGGTGAGTTGCTGAGAGCCATTCCAGAGATCTTGCCACTGGCTGATAGATGCTCGTTAGTTTTTTGGGTTTTTAAAAAAAAAATTTTTTTTAACATTTATTTATTTTTGAGACAGAGAGAGACAGAGCATGAACAGGGGAGGGGCAGAGAGAGAGGGAGACACAGAATCGGAAGCAGGCTCCAGGCTCTGAGCCATCAGCCCAGGGCCCGGCGCGGGGCTCGAACTCACGGACCACGAGATCGTGACCTGGCTGAAGTCGGACGCTTAACCGACTGAGCCACCCAGGTGCCCCAGTTTTTTGTTTTTAAACGCATGATGATATTTTCTTAATTCCGGGTTTACCAAATATATTCTTTTAGAAAAATATTATTTTAGTTATTGGAGGCTTTTAAAATCCATTTATCTTAAGCAATCTAATCAATTAATTCTTAAACAGGAAATTTGGATTCTATTCTTGAAATATGTTATAGACATACATAAAAAATGGGAGAAAACATACTCATCAATTTAATGTGCACAAGCCTCTCAATAATTAATTACCCTAAACTCGTCTTCAATTGTAGAGGTTGTACAAGATTTTTGACACTATTTCAAATTCTTACGATACTCCCCCCTGATGTCGGGAGGCAAGAATACGGTGAAACTGGAAAGGAAGTCTGTCTGTCCCGACACTCCACTGGTGGCCTGTCTGGGTGTGGTGGCTGTGGTGGCTGACACTCAGCACAGGCGAAAGAGGACGGAAAGAGGGCTTTACGAATGGGGCAGAAGCTGCGGGTCAAAGGCAAATCATACTTGTACCAACATAAGGAGTCAAAGGACGCCATAAAACCCAACACGTGCTGGTAGCCATGACTCTCCGTATGCAGTCTGCCTGCCAGGACACTATGGGATGGCGTATGCCTAACCTAAGAGCACGTGAATGTGACAGCTGACAGTGTGCACAGAAAGAGGCGACTGGCTCTCTAAACATGCCATGGAGGGCAGTGGATGTTCAAGTTTGGGGGCGGGGACCGAGGGAGGTTGATGGTATGTCCCTGAAATACCCAGGCCTGGTGTGGCCTCCTGGGGGTCAGGCAGTCAGGTCAGGCCAAGTAGTGAGTGACTGAGAGGGTTACTTCGAAAGGGTCCAAGTCCCCATGTCGCTCCAAAGACCCCACTGAGAGCCACGTGGAAAGGAGGGACTCCCCCCTGTGACGCTGCTGGGCAGAGTTTTGGGAAGAGAAACTGAAGCCAAGGATTTGGGTTTAAAATCCTTGTGGATCCAAAAACTACCTGTCAGGAATAAAAGTTATGACTTGGTCTTTCTTCTTTTTCTTTTTTAAGGAAAAAGAAATTGTTCACTGAAGTTTTTCTGTTGAGAAGACTTTGTTATTCTGTGTCTCTGGAATAAAAAAAAGTAAGATCTCGTTCTGTTTCTCCATTCCCCAATGTCTTCCTCTTTGGAAATCAAAGCTAAAAGAAAAAAAAAAATAGTCTGTATGCAAGACACCCGAGTTGCATTCCTGTGTATCTGTGGCCGGAAACCCACTAAGAAAAATACTGCCTTCTGAGCCCTCTGTGACGTGTCCCCTGGAAGGGGCTTAGTGCCCTTCCAGATCCCTGTCATCCCGCGAGGCCAGGCTCCGGGGCGTCCTGCCCCGAGAGCAGCTGTGCTCTGACAGGAGCGGCCGGCAGCGAAGGGGCGGCCGGGCAGGTGCGAGGCGGCGCACGTCTGGAAGGGGGCTGAGGGTCTCCCACGCGGCGTCTCTGCTCTGCCGCATCTGCAACGGTTCTGGTAGTTTCCTCAGCCCGGAGTACCGTCACCCTCCTCCTCGTCCTCACAGACTCACATTTCACAGACCAGGCCCAACGTGGCCCCTCGTGTATCCTGCTCTGACCTCCCCAGGCAGAATAAACTGCTCCCTCTTACTGTGCTCTCTGTCCAGCACCTGCCCCTCCAGAGTGTGGTAACCAGGGCTGGGGGAGGGGCACGGGGGGCTCGTCGCCCCTGCAAGACTGAGCTTCTGAGGTTGGGGGTTATTTCCTCCCCGTATCTTACTCCTCGTGACTCAGCACATGGTGCACATGTAGGTCATCTCATTTCTCTTTAGAACGAGAGGTAAATGGGCCCCTGCTGTGGCTTCCTTCTTACTGAAAGACCCACGAGCAAAGGGGATCAGAAGAAGCGTGTGAGGCAAAAGGCTGAGTCGGTAGAGGCCGCTGACTGCCGTGTTTTCCCACTCTGACCAGTATGGCTTATCCTCTGTCTTCCACTCAAACCTCGGGCACAGAGCGATGCATGGAAATAGGCTGCAAAGGCATCTGAGAGCTGAATTATGACTCAGAGCCTGGCTGGGATCCTGGTTCCATCTCCCAGGCCTACGACTGGGGGCAAGGCCTCCTCCGAAAATGGCAACAGCATACGCAACCATCAGAAATAATACTCAGGGAAGCTACAAAGACCAATGGGAAGACTCACAGTAGCAAGCAAATAAAAAAAGAACAGGAAGTGTTTATATATTTTGATTGAAGCTATATAAAAATACACCTGTACCTGCACAATAACTAGAAGGTAATGTACAAATAAAAACAATTACAATACTCAATGAACTATGAGGAGTTTTTGCAAATATTTCTTCATTGGTATTATTATATCATATTTCCTATTAAAAAAAAAAACAGAGGGGTGCCTGGGTAGCTCAGTCAGTTAAGCATCCGACTCTTGATCTCAGCTCAGACCTTAATTTCAGGGTTCTGAGTTCAAGCCCCACACTGGGAAACCTATAGGAAGGAAAGGAAAGGAAAGGAGAGGGGAGGGGAGGGGAGAAAAAAGAAAACTGAGGGGCGCCTGGCTGGCTCAGTCAGTAGAGCATAGAACCCTGATCTCAGGTTTGTGAGTTCAAGTGCCACATTGGATAGAGAGATTTTGTTAAAACAAACAAACAAACAAACACACAAAAACAACATAAAAAAAGGAATTGGGGCCCAGCCTTACAGGGATGACATGAGTAAAAGCCACAGGAAAGATGTCTGTAAACTCTGGTGAATATAGAACCACCCACTTGATGCTATTAACCCTGTCACTGCCACTGGACCTAAATGAAAAATTCTTTCTAAAAATGGCATTAGAGACACACATCTTTCTAGACTCATAAAACCTGTACACTCATAGTCCTCCGACAAGACAGACCTAACATGTATAAAGCTCTAAGAAATATATAAACATTCTAGAAATTTCCATACTTCACTCAGTCCAGCTAACCTCTCGGAGATGTGAACCCCTCTCTCCTAAGAAGCTCAGAGCAGCTCCCCCTCCTGGCCTCACTCAAGAGGTGGCGAGAAGAAACCATACTCTCCCTGCAGAGGGGGCTCTGGAGAGAAGGGGGGTGTCCTGCTGGAGCTGAGGAGTGAGAAGGCAGCTGCGAAACTGTGTCTCCAGATGGAGAGCCTCTGTAGTGACAAACTTCTCAGCAATTCCTTCCGAAAACACCTGGGAAGACTGCTTCCTCTCGGCAGTTTCATAAATATGGATATTCACAATAATTCTAAGATCCTGCGGAGTGCCACGAAGCGAGACACGCGAGCCGTTCTAGGCTTACCCCTTGTCCACGCTGGCGTGGACGGCTGCGACAACACCTTCCAGGACCTGGAGGGGGTCCCTGGGCCCACCGAGCTCAGCGCTGCCTCCGCTGTAAAGGGAGAGAGAAAGAACCGGTTCAGAAGGGGGCTCCGGGCTCAGCAAGCAGCACGGCGTTCGCACTCGGAGCCCGGCTGGGCTGTGGCAGTGCGCGCTGCCGGCTCCCAGCCATGCGGGCTGCGTGTGGTCTGCGAGGGCACTGAGCCCTACACGACGTGCCAAAGGTGTGGAAACGAAACGCCTTCTGCCTTTAAGACGCTCACGGTCTCATATGTGCTTGTTTTGCTGGCAAGAAAATACAATCTACCTGCCTCCTGTCCTCCAAAAAACAGTCAATGGACATTATTATACGTGTGCATTAAATACATAATCATCCAAATTCTCCAGCTGGACTTAAAAAAACCCTAATATTTACGTGACGCTCACTAGGCACAAGACACCGTTGAATGTTGTACACACATGTACCATTTAATCCCCAACAGCCCACAAGGTAGGTACTATTATTATGCCCATTTTACGAGTGTATATATCTGGGACTCTAGTAAATTTTGAAAAAAAAGCAACAGAAGACAAGTTTTAGCTGAGTGTTCTGAATAATTTCAGCGGTAGGACTTAAATCAACTGCTGGATTCAGTTCTTTACACGCGTTTGTTGTTTCATATCTACCAAATTCTACTAACTTTCTAAAAGGTGAACATTATGGATGTTGTCAGTAGCAATTTCTTTTCCTTTGAAAAGGAGGTAGCTGAACTTCTGAAGTTCCCTCTCCTCCCACTACTGAAAGATTTAATTCACATTTATTGAATATCTTCTGTGTGCTAAGCATAACGTTTATTAGGTGAGAACCAAATCTTAGTAAGTGGAGCTGGGTGCAGGGAAGGAGAGAGAAGTGTAATTTCTGGCACAATTTTATAAGGGTAAAAATATCACATATTTTCATTATCTACAAAAATGGGCAATTTTTAGGAAATAAATTCATCAAAGCACCAATTTTTCAAAATGTTTTGTTTTTGTGAGGTTCATCTATAGTTTAAGAAACACTAAAAAGATAGCCATGAATCAAAAGGTGCAAAATGTGACCAACAAGTATCTGTCATCAATGAAAAGAGGAAAGGGGCGCCTGGGTGGCTCAGTCAGTTAAGCATCTGACTTCGACTCAGATCATGACCTCGAGGTCTGTGAGTTCGAGTCCCGTGTCGGGCTCTGTGCTGACAGCTCAGAGCCTGGAGTCTGCTTCCGATTCTGTGTCTCCCTCTCTCTCTCTGCCCCTCCCCTGCTCGTGCTCTGTCTCTCTCAAAAATAAATAAACATTAAAAAAAAAAAAAAAAGAAAACAGGAAAGTGGGCGGCTCTTATAACCACCACCACCACCACAACATAATAAGCTAATAACAGAACACTGCTTTATTAACTTGACATTTGTTATTTCTTACAAAGTGCTATATTTTATTTCTCTATCTCTATCTCTGTCTCTGTCTCTCTCTAAAAATTACCAGATACCTCAGATCATTATAAGGTGAAAACTGTATGAGGCTGGGGTAATTAAACTGATAAAGGCTCATTTGATTTCAGTTCAGCTGTGGAAAACTGACATGCATTTAATCAAAAAGTTCCTCAAGAGCAATGCAGAATTACAAAGAATGCTTAAAAGGAGAATACATTAAACACAACTAAATCTTTCAGCATAATTGCATTATTCACAGAAAGCACTTCATGCCTCATTCTTCTTTTAGCTTAACTTTCCCCCTTTTCTAACCCTCCCGGATGCATTCCCACGAAGACACCCGCATACTGACATAAAGCTAGAATTTCTCAATTGTTGGTTTCAGGCCATTAACTGCAGGTAAATAAAACTCTAAGAGACTTAACAGATGTCTAACTTCTTCAGTATACGATTAACCTTGCCTTGTGTATACTTCGAAAGAAGCTTCTGGGAGCCATTTTGCAAGCTCTGAAAAGAAGTGTGAGTAGAAAAGTCAGGATGTGTACATCCACCGGGGGTCACATGATGACCTGACATTTAGCTACCTGCTAATCTTGGCCCTTCCCGTACTTCAAGAATTATTTGGGGATGGGGATGATGGCGGGAGGAGGGGGAGTGGCAAGAGGGTCTAACCAGAAGTTAATTTCAGGGTGGGTTACACACAATACCAATGGGGAAACACTTTCATGGTTCTCCACCCTTGAGGTATTTTAAGACACAAGACTTTGAGAAATCTGATAATAACCTCTCACTTTTATGAAGTACTTCCTAGTGAATAAAATGCCTCTACATACATGATTGTATTTTTACCTTCGTGACTGTGAAACGAGTGCCATTACTGGCAAACTATCGCCTCGGCTTTCTGGGGACTCTTTTCTGGCTTACCTCAGGGCAGAAACTATTCTCCTCACTGCATTCTGCACTACGTCCTTGGGCGAGATGTCGAGAGGGCCCACGGCCACCTGCAGCAGCTTCTGGATCATTCTCAGAGGCAGGCCATCTAGACACATGGCCACAGCTTGATCGTGAACTTTCCCCTTTTCTGATCGGGAAAGATCATACAGGCGACTGTATTTCTGCAGCGCTTCCTGAAAAGATAAGGGGCACAACACCTAAACATCAAGTAGAAATAAGGTGTGGCCACATGTACAGAGTGAAGCAGATTTAGACGACTCTCAAACCAAACACACTCGAACTACAAAGGCCACACGGAAGGAGATGTAGTGGTTTTCAAGAGCTTGGGCTTCCGGACACCAGGCTGGAGTACAAATCCTTGCTTTTTCGCATTTATTAGTTAATGGGTCTTCGGGACCTGCAAAATGAGGATGATGACAGAGATTCTTGGGAAGAGAGGG